CTACTAAGGGAGTCTATGCTGTTCACCGAGAGCGTGTCAACGCTTGTTCTGTACTCTGAATTTGAAGGTCAATACCAGTTGTCGCTTCTTCGTAAAACAAAAATGGAACACTTCATATTTGTAGTGCTTTTTCCATCCGAATATTACTGGAACTCACCAGACACTGTTCTAGAATGTGAGTTTTTTCCAGCCTGTGAAGTGTCAGGAGGAACAGGCATTCGTTTGTGTCGAAGTGACACTAGCCCAGACCGAAATATTTACTGATGTGATTGTTACTGGCAACACATATAGAAGAAAAACTTTTCAGCACTGATCCGTTTCATAAAGATGAGCTATGCGTTTGACTCTATCAGGAATAGTCAGAAGTGGTTAAATGATGTAAACGAGGCCGTTACAATGACTCGCAGTGGTATACGGATGAATGCAGTCAGTGCTGGTATCCTCCCAAACAAGTCTGGTATCACTTTGGTGACAGCAAAGAGATGGAAGTCATGACAGCCTTGGGCGCGAGATCGATCCATTAATGTGTGTTGCTGTAGGGTACCTTAACCACTGCGCCATATGCACACCTGGCCCATCAGACGTACAGAAGTAAATATTCGTATGTTTATGATATAATGGACACTTAGTTATTTGGATCTGAAAGACATTATCACTTTATCGACGGAGTAAGCTTGCTGACCAAATTAAGACATTGAACGTAAAAATTGCTGCTTACATGACACTGTTGCCCATAACGGCAAAAACAAAATATAGAGAAACAACGATTTTGCTAGTGACATTTTCGACAGCGCCTTATTTGTTGTAAACTTCCTATAGAGTCGGTGACGATGCGATTCACAAATTTATGCCCGCTCGTTTTATATCTCAACTTCTATATTCTTCAGCCTCTTTTGCATGGCGTGTGTTCGACTGCTACTATGTATGAGGATTATTTTATCAAAAAAAGTTGTGAGAAGTTATGTTTTATCACGACTTGACGATAATTTAAGCACACTTCTAGTCTAGAAACGCTTCACCGGGATCTCCGATATGTTATATTAAGGATTCCACATGTATTATACGAAAAAGTATGATAAATATTCCTCAGAGAAGAAGACATTTGAAAATATTTCCGTCTTGCCTTTTTTTCTGAACCAGAACAGAAGCAGATGTTAGTCGATCATACGTAGAGGACTTTTGATTGCAGTCATAATACGACTGATAATTACTGCAATTAATTGGACCTTTCGTGTGTATTTGGCATAAGATGAACGCGAGTGGAGCAACGGTTAGAGGTGCTCGCGACTCACACGTGGTCGAACAGCGATTGGTTGATTGTGTGATCCCTCGTTCAATGCTCACAAAGCCTTCTATCCCTTCGATGTCGGAGAATTGGTACCAGACTTGTTTGGAAGGATAGGCAGCAGTGAGTTGATACATCGGCACGCCACCGCGAGTTATTGTAGAGACCAAATATGTCTCCATTCACATCAAAGAGAGCTCAAAACTGTTATAAAATTATTTTTGGAGCAGGCTATAGTTTCTTAGTCTTTTTTGATGTAGCAATTATCCGATTCGAATTCAAACAGCCATTGATCATGATGATGGTGGCCATTGCCTTGTTGAGTCAAATCTTATGTAGTAGACTACCTCTAATATATGACCTCACCTAACAATGACTTTCCATACAAAGCGGTAGAGCCATAAGTGGCCGGTTTCCAGAAAGACCCTCTCATAGCGATGTAAAACTCGAAATAAAACTGTGCCACAGACGCGCATATTTATCGCCGCACAGAGCTCTTTTTTAGATTATTGGTAATCATTCGATAGCGTGATGTTTGCTGATTCCAACGCTGTGCTTATTTTCTGGAAAGGTCGTTTTTCTACAGTGCAATACGGAAAATAGGAATGATAAACTTACAGGAAAGGGTGTATTTTGCTGCTCCATGGGGTGGTGAGGGGTGGAGCGAGGGCGGGTGTTGCTGTTTTCACAAGACCACTGGTCGCTTCGTACTTTGGCGAGTGGCAAGTCTCCCTGCTGCACTGCAGAGAAGAGATCTTTTTAGAAAATAAACACAGCGCTGGAATCAGCAAACATTACGGTGTCCAATGAATGTTTATCACTCAAGGAAAGAGCTTTATCCGGCGAGGTATAGCGTACAAATTTTTCCATCTTCTAGAGCGCTATCAAAAGAGCTTCCTCAAATGCATGCATATTTTTGAGTTCTTTGACATATGTGCCATTGAACGAGTACGAGCACACTAAGGAAGGAGTTTTGTCCACCAAAATATAAGCGAGATAAGAAGAAAAAACGCGTAGTCGTGTGAAACATAATATATTTTTAATGTTACAGCGTTATAAAAGGGTGTTTCGAAAATCAGCTATGCAGGCTTTAGCCAGAAATCTAAGCTTTCGAATGATTACCAAAACTCCTATCAAGTTTTCTATCCAGCGAATGAGATGGGACATTCATTTGTCCCCTTATATACGAAAAAAACCCTTTTCTAGCTGGCATATAGCGTAGCAATGTCTTCAATGAGCTCTTGACTTTTTGTTTCATTTTGTGCTTTTTTCCTTTAGGAAGATTCAAATTGACTAACGGTCACTGAATCTGAAGTTATTCATTTTCTTGTTTTTATGCCAGTTCACTAGCGTTTTCACGACAAGTTTAGTAAGCAACGATCATTTCGCGACCACTGTCATAGATAAGGATAGCTGAGCCTTTGAATTTATAGAAGAGGAAGTTTGCTACACGACGAAATCTGTCTTCAAGATTTACTTTAGTGTTCAACGTAATATCTTTGTTTAACTGGTTCGTGTGAGAATACGACAGATTCTTGTAAGAATACCAGTGATTCGTGTAAGAATACGACTATAACTTTGACTGATGAGCAAAAATACGACTTCAGACGGGAGTCGAACCCGCGTTTCACACATACCGCGAAGTGTGCTACCACAACACCAACGATGTACATTTGTCCAACCACACATTCTTCAACATCTCTATGATAGCTATAAGCCACCAATCTTTGACAGGTTTGACCGGGTCTGCAATATCGCATAATAAACCCACTTAAGCTGACAGCCATTGTGATGTGTAACACTGGCATTTTCTAATGTTTTGACTGCATTTTTCGCAGTGATACGACGTTTCCAATACACTCAAGAGGATTGGTGGGTGAGCAAAAATAGGACCTCAGACGGGAGGGCGGACTATTTATATGAAACAGCAATGCTCATTATGGACTCTGATATCTCGATTAAAGGTGACACCGAATATGATTTTGGTAAGTTGTGACTCTAATAAAGGTCGCAGCATCGAGCAAGTGTTCTTAGTAGCGTTCTTCAACACTTTTTCTCCGGCATGAGTTCTTCGCTCATGCTTGATTATATATAAAAGAAGTTCATGAGTTCAAGTGGTTTGTTCGACAAATTGTGGGGAATATTCAATTAAGGGATAAATAAAATATATGAATATGGAGTAACAAGGCAATGAACAAGTAGATAAATAAGCAAGAATAAGCAGAAATACATGTTCTTTGTCCTAGTCGTTTTCGAGCACATCTTGTTGTGGCACAAATATGAGAGAATCAAGAAGCCACTGCCTTGGATTAACACGAACACCAAGATTTGTAACCAGAGTCGGTGGATATTACTCTGCCGTTAGCTTGATCCTACATCCAGGCTCACAAAGCTTTTGATTCCTACGATACTGGTAAACGTGTACTGCACTTGTACAGGGACGATGATAGCATGCCTTCATAGATCGGTAAGCCATCGTGATCTATTGACTAGACATGCACTCACTCTCCTCTGCGAGGCTTAATGAAATCAAACGTTTGGCGCATCTCTCAGGGAACTGTTCAGAGTCCACAGCGGTATTCCTTGTCCTGTCCTGCAGGCGGATTGACCTAAAACAATTGTCAGCTGACGATCAGTCTCGTGATGTGGGGCTTTGTTATCGCGCCGAATCGAATCTGTTAATGGGGAGCACCTCTCAAATGAGATCACTTCACTTAAGAAACCCTTCAATGCAGGAAGATAGCCGATTGTTTTGATGCATGCTGATTATCATTTGCTTATGATATGATTATAATGTTTATACTGATAAATTTTCGTACAAAGATAAAAAGACTAAAGCTGAACGTTTCCTGCAGGGGTGTGAAAACGTATTCGTAATAGCGATGTGATTATTATTTTATCCAGTTTTACATGATAGAGGTGTAAGCTCTACATATAGAGCAGAAAATGTGGCGGAGGCTCAGCAGAGGAAGCCATTATTAGCCACTGAATAGTATAAAACATGGCTGAAAAAAAGACAGAGCGAAAACGTCTGTAGTGTGGTGCGAGCACGTGCTATCACTGAAGGGCTTGGTGATGATTCGAGCCCACGACACAAAAACAGAAAGTTCCACGTTTTGATCGTGGTTCGGTATTTTTGTGATCATGTTTCATATCATAAATTGCTGCTAAAAAGAAAATAGGGTAGTAAATGAAAGACAAAGCTGTTACTAGTTTTTGCCTAGTTTTCATCAGTACTCGAGTGCATTGGCTCGCATTTGAGCTATGCATAATATACGATAGAGTTTGTTTCTTTTTATGCCTCAGATTGAAACTCGTCCAAAATTTTACTCATTCATTGTAAATCATTTTGTTTGAAGAAAAAAAAAGATCTATTCCATTCCTTTTTTTTCAGCTTTTCCATAATGAATATCAGAGGCAAGTTCATTGCTTTTTCCAAAAATTCGATTAAAAAGCAAGGTGTAGTTGAAATTGTTTCTGTTATCGTTCCATATTTGATCAATGTATAACACGATGATCGAACCCCATATACGAAACATCATAACACTGCGAAAATGCAGTAAAAATATAAGAAATTTCGCGCAGTAGTCATCACAATGGCTGTCAGCTCAACTGGGTTTATAAAGCGAAATCGCATACCCCGACCAAACCTGTTATAGGTAGGTGGCTGATAGCTAACATAGAGGTGTTGAAGAATGAGTGGTGGTGCAAATGTGCCTCGGTGTTTTAGTTGTAGTAACACACGTCCTCGGTATGGGATATAACGCGGGTTCGATCCCCGCTTGAGGCCATGTTTTTGTTCACCACTCAATTCCTTGTATATAGTTTTGGATGAAACTCTGCTTTCTCTTTACCAATGCGTCAAATATTGTTCTATTATGATTTGCCATGAAATCCAACTTAGCCATGCTAGAACCTTCACAATCCATCACCACATCTAGTCCTTGTAGCTTGTCGATCGGGAAGAGCTTTGCATAGATCAGTTTCACCCAAAATATCGATTATTCGCAAGACGGTTACCAGATTGGAGCCATGTGAAATTGAAGTAGGTATCATATGCGCATTGTAGATCTTTAACCAATGAGTTAAATGTATTCTCATATAACTATAACAAAGAGACGAAACGGACAAATTAACGTAAATGGCAGCATTATGTCTCTAATTTCTCATATTCCAATAATTTAACTTCACTGGGGCACATCGTGACATGAAACTGTCAGACCTCTCCTGTTTTGGTTTTCGAAAAAGCTTAGTGGCTGTTGTTAACATAAGGAAATATCTAATCTTATAAGGGGAGGACGATTACACCTTTGTGAATGGATATCGACTTGCTTGGTTCTGACTGTTCATTCTTCTTCATAAACTCTTTCCGGGCAGGAACATATCGTAGGGAAGGGATAGAACTATTGCTGGTGAAGAAAGAAGCCAGTTCATGCGATTGTTGTCCAGGGAAAGAAATGGAACTCTTTTCATTTCAACAATAAGGTTCTGTACTATGGAATGTGTTTTCACTGTAATAAAATCTTGATGTGTTTGAAAAAATGTGAACTGGTTAGTAGTGCAATAGTCCTCAACTCGCCCTTTGTCACTGCAATTTCTCCTTTAGAGAGTTAAATGGTCTTCTATGTGGTTTCACATAGTGTGCTGTCGCGAACACTTATTCATGGCGCTTGATTGAGTACCCATGTTATCCTCAGTTCAAAATAATTCCAAAAAAAGAATGCTCAAAGCCTAAACGAGGTTGGCACGCCAGAGCCATACACCGATTTTCGGAGGTTTTGGCTTCCTCGTCAGTGACCACCGCCTTATATTAAGCCTTACACTGTAGAAAGGAGGGAGGCGAATATGATGATGGCACAGTGTACAATGGCACTCGTCTTACTAAGCAAGTATGATCTTTTAAAATGTGAGAAAGCAGCTACATTCAATGAACTCTTCTTCGTGGCACTCTATTGCTTCACACATTTTCTTATCCTGGGCGAACGACACAGAGCTGGGTAATGTATTGTTTGAAGGAAGACAATCTGCTGAAATAAAATATGACTAAACAAATCCGATTCTCCAGATTACTGAGTTGACACGACCTCCTGAAATGGGTGAAAGCTGTCACAGGCAACATGCTGTTTTCCTCGCATTACTCCATTGCTTCGCACATTTTCGTATCCTGGGTAAACGATTAAGGGCTGGGTAATGTTTCGTTTGAAGAAAGAAATATGTCGAAATAGAATTTGACGAAAGAAATTTGACTCTATAGAGGACCGTTTAATATGATCTTTTGAAGGGAGTGATAGCCGCCACAATCTATGAACTCATTTCTTCGTAGTTCCATATTACTTAGCATATTTATACATCGTGGGCGAACGACACAGTGCTGGGTAATGTTTCGTTTGAAGTAAGACAATGTGTCGAAATAGAATGACTAAACATAACCTATTCTATAGAGGTCCGAGTTAATATGATCTTCCGAAATGGGTGAAAAGCTGTTACAAGCGATGAACTATCTTCTTAGTTCTCTATTGCTTCGCTCGCGAGTACCATACACCGGTGTTTTGGAGGTTTTGGCCTCCTCGTTACTAACCCCCCACCCCACATTAAGTTCTGCACTGTAGCAAGGAGGGAGGCGTATGTGGTGATGGCACAGTATACAATGACACTGGTCCATCACCACTTCTCAGTCGATCATTTTGGCTGGCAGAGCAAAACTGATCCTCAGAATCGACTGTTTGTAAAACTTCACAATAAGCCCTGATGAATCACTGACGAGGAGGCCGAAACGTCCCAAACACCGATGTATGACCCTAGCGCACCAACGTCGTTTAGGCTTTTGACATTCTTTTTGGAATTGACTCAATAAAATTGTAATTTTGCGTTAATACAGTCAAAATGCACTTAAATTACTGCAACTTCTCCTTCAAGGTTTCATTCTTATAACGGGAAGTGATCATCAAATAAACAGATGTCGGGTTAAGCCTATAAGTCTTCCTTTTTTGTGGTCTCAAACATAGTTCAACATTAGGGAGACAGAAGCAAATCTTAAGTTGACAAACTCTGTTTTAGAGTTATTTCCGGACAAAATTTCTTTGATGAGAGGTGTCAATTTAGATAAAAACCTACTAAACATCATCGGAGTCAAACGGCTCAACGCAAATTAGTGTAAAAACACTTTGTGTCGAAATGCTACAGGATCACAAATTGTCCTAAATTAGGATAACTCACTTAGTAGTATTTTATCTTTGTACCCTTAATGCCTAGCTTTGCTATACGTTTATCAGATAACCTGTCAACTTTCAAGGGAAACTTCAATGAAGCATGCAAAAGTTGTTTTTTCGTGGTAAGAAAGCGAACATCTAGGGGCAGTAATCCCATTCGCTGGTCGGAGAGCCCACTCTACACGGGCACTGGCTTGATCACCACCAGGGCATACCAAGTCTCTCATTTTTTCACAGCCCCGAAATTAGTACTATATTTGTCCATGGCAACTGCAATCTCTCCGATCTGCATTGGAATGCTCTAGAACAGCTCTCCCTGGATTTCTTAAAGTATCGATAGTGACTTCAGCAGCACTCAGCTAAATTCGCGACGATCACTATAGCTCTTAAACGAAATCCGACGTCACACTTGAAAAAGTTTGAAGACTTTTGTGAGGTAGGAGACGTTTGCAATTGTTGGGTCAGCCAGTATTATGTAGGTGGTGACTTTTTTGAAGCCGACGAATTCACGGCACATCAGAGGGCATGGTGTCGTTGTTGATAATATAATGCAAGCCTGCTGCAAAAGGTTTTTTTTATCATCATCGACTTGAGTTCAAAAAACGGATTCCACATAATGGAGTTGTTTTCTATCCTGTGCGGTATGAAGCTTAGAAGGACATGTATAAGTGCTACAAATATTTTTTGCTAATAAGGAAAAATTCTTGATACGCCTTCGGGTAATTTCCAATAGTCTAAGGAAAGAATTTTGTCCTGCTTGAGATACGCTTGTGTAGAACATAGAACTATTCTCTTTGTTACAGCGCTGTAGAAAAGCCTTGAAGAGCGGCAGAGCTTCAAGATTTGATAACATCACCTCCGACTTTCTGAAAGCTGGAGGTCATAATCTATACGTATTATTAGCTATACATATGGCATCCTACCTCCAAAATGAAAGTATTCTGAACCATTGGAGGACGTCACGCGCAATCATCCTCCATAAAAAGGGTGACCGAAGGGATCGCTGCAATTTTCGTCCAGTTTGCTTGCATAGTGCTCTACGAGCTCATTACGAAGATTATACTGGGCATATCAAGAACTTTGCATGAGGCTCATCCAATTGAACAAGTAGGATTCCGTAAAGGATTCTGCTGCATGGACCACATCCTAACCGTATCACGGGTCATTGAAGCCTGTCGGGAATATCACATGCCCTCGATCCTATTATTTGTCGACTGCGAAAAAACGTTTGACAGTGTCGAAACGAATGCAGTCCTACCAGGGCTCGTTGATCAAGCAATGGATCCTTCCTACATGAGAACCTTGTCAGACTGCTATCGTAACTGCATCACGAAAATGCAGCTCTTTCATCGACCTCTTACCATGCCCATTGATAAAGGGGATCGACAGGACGATGCCGTATTCCCAAAGCTCTTCACCACCCGTTACAGTGGATAATAAAGTCGCTTGATTGGGACGAGAAGGACATACACAACGATGAAAAACTCCGGTCACATCCTCGTTTTGCTGACAACATAGTCGCCATTCGAAGAGTGCCAATGACGCAGAGACGATGTTGAAGGAATTAAACGAAGCGGGGAAGAAGATCGGATTAAGTACCAATAGGTTGAAGATCCAGTTCATGAAGAACTCATGGCGTTAAAGTGATCAAGTCGAAATGAATGGTTCTCTGATTGCAGAAACCACCTCGTATCTGCACTTTGCGTATTCACTGAACATGAAAAACAACATGAAAGAGGAACTAGACAGAAGGAGAAGACCATCATGGGCCGCATTCGGGTCTCTTAAAGAAGACACCGACAAGCTAACGACCCATAACTGCGAGTTCACCTTTCCGATTCAACGGTTTTCCCGGCACTCTGCTATGCAGCTGACATGTAAGCTGATACTTCGACCATGTCAAATGCTACGAACAACTCACAAAGCGCTTGAACGATATCTTCTAAAAATTAGTCGGCTAACACATCATCTAGCCGGCTCGCGCAGCACAAATCTTCAAAGTTATCTCACCTTCGTGACCCAGAAGTCTACACGTCTATTGCGAAATACGGATGGGCCGGTCATATAGTGAGAAGAACAGACAACAGACGGACGAGAACTGTAGAGTGCATCCCACGAAAATGTACGTGTCCTCGAGGGCGGCCATCTACATGTTGGGCGGACGTGTTCGTCAAAAGATCGAGCAGGTGCACTCGCAAATGTCAATATTTTTAAGATCAAGGTAACACTCGCAACAGCCACTATGTTCAAATTAGACCACCGTCATGGACGAATGTCGCCCAGAAAAGGGACGGATGGAATTTGCGCTGGGGTACGCACAACTAGTCAAGACAAACCGTCCAAGTAATCCAAGTAAGTAAATTGGAGATCTTCGAATGCTTTCTGTGCTGATGTTTGCAACATCCGCCCCATAATACATCTCTTTAAGTCGTCATCGTCATGCCTTCCTGTCCTTTGTGTACCTATTCGCGTCTATCCTAACTTTTTCAATTTTCCATCTAGGAGTTTTTTATGCAGACTCGAAGTGGTCACTCTTTCAGCCGATGTATATATTACCACATCTCTTACAACAAATCAGCTT